CCCTATTTGGATTAAAAACTCCTTTATGGCACTACAGCAAGATCTGTGTTAGTCTAAAGCAGTGTTTCTCTACCTCAGCAACTTTAAGAGGGGTGGACTTCAACTCCCAGAATTCCCCAGCCAGCCATGCTGGCTGGGGGGTTCTGGGAGTTAAAGTCCACACATCTGAAAGTTGATAAGACTGAGAAACACTACTTTAGATCAATATATTTAAGGAGTATGGCATTAACTGATGCATAAATTTACTTACATAGAGATGCCACTACCAAATTGTTTCCTTTGGAATAACCTCTTGGGTTATAGGGCTAGTCCAGAGGCAAAAGTTATAAAGGTTCTGTAAGGAGATGCAGTGAAAAGTAAAGCTTTATTTGTTGAATTCTGGATATTAAAAAAACCAAAAAGAGAACCCTAACATCTATCAATACCAAATTCTGTTAGGGATTATAGAGTGGTTAAAGCAAAAGGGTTTTACTTTTTTTCCTGGGCTCCCCTTGAGAGAATAAAGGCAGGGATTTCCACAGTAGCACCCTTTTGTTTGAAAAGGATGAGCAGTTGCATTGAATAATAGGGTTTTAAACTATTTTAAGCATTATGTGTTGTACTGTTTATATCTTTCTCAGATCTACAAGCTACTCAAATAGTGGGTTTTTCTACCTATCCTGAGTGGTGCTATTAAAGTGCTATTTCCCCATCTTGCCACAAAACTCGATCAGCCCAAAACCCCAGGATAAAAATTTGCTGTCCCCATTGCCAGTTCTCATCCTGCCTCTATGGTGTATCTTCTGAATCACTGCCAATTAATGTTGTCCTCATTTGTGAGTGTGCCAGTTCTTAGAGACTGTTACCACGCTGCAGAGAAAACTCCCACCAACCAGGGCCCTGCAGCAGAAATGGGGAGGGTCTGACTGAAGGACTTTTTCTAGCTTGCTCCTCCATATCATTTGGACATTTCCCAAGTTTAAAATAATGCAAAGTAAGGAAATATATGGATACACAGAAGGGCAGAAATAATCCCAGAGAAGCAGTAGGCAGATCCAGTCTTAGCTAGGTCCTGTAGAGCAGAAGAATTGAAAGGGACAAATTGGTGGGCAATCAGTTCTCTCAGATCCAGGTGGGTGGGTGGGAATGATTGATATTGAGAAACACAGAAAAACTGGCAGATTAGCAAAATCCTAGTTTAACACCCTGGTTAGTTATTTGACACTGTAATGAGAAAAAGTGAGGCTGCCATGTCTTAAGGCAAGAACACATTTCAGAATCTCTTAAACATGGGTTAACCAAAGTATGCATCTTCTTCACCAAATAAAATACTGAAGTCTAGTATTTCAATTTCAGAATAAATCTGAAGGTTAACATCTCTTCTTTTTCTCCCCTCTGCTCGCTCCTCTTCATTGGCAGCTTGCCAAGTGGTTGTACAAGGGGAGGCAATGAGGAACCTATGAAAAGGCTGCGTAAGAACTAGAGGGGAATGATCTGCTGACACTTCCCAACACTCCCCAAACTAGGCCCATGAAATCTGGCCCACAAAAACTCCAGGTGGGGCAGGACGTCATTCACATGGCTGTGGCTGCCCTCTCATCTCTTTTGACACCCCTCCGTCCAGACCTGCTAATGTGGTAACTCTAGCAATTAATGTAACTCTGCAGTTCATTTGTCTTGGCTGTGGTATCAATCACTTTGTCAGCCTGGATGGTTTATGCCTTTCCTTCTCTTTTCTGAATGTTGCCTATGCATTTTAAGTAGCCTTGTCTGATTCTAACTGACACAATTAAGTACAGCTGTATACCAAAACAGCATTCTTCTTCATCCAGTTCTTTCTTTCCTAGGTCTCCTTGTGGTCTCTCCTGGTGACTTTGGTGATCCTTTTCATTCTCACGGGTACCATGCTGGGTCCTGAACTTCTGGCTACTATTCCTGCCACTGTATACGTAGTAGCTGTGCTGATGCCCTTGGTAGGTTACGGCTGTGGCTATGGGATAGCAACCTTATTTCGCTTGCCCCCACACTGCAAGCGGACAGTATCTTTGGAAACTGGCTGCCAGAACGTACAACTCTGTACTGCTATACTCAAGCTGACTTTCCCCCCACAGTTCATTGGGAGCATGTATATGTTTCCTCTGCTCTATGCCCTCTTCCAAGCTGCTGAAGCAGGCCTGTTTGTATTGGCTTACAAGATATATGGAAAGGATTTCTACAAGCAAGAACCTCAAGGAGGAGACGAAGAGGATACAGACATTTCTTACAAGAAACTCAAGGAAGAGGAAGTCCCAGATATTTCTTATGGCACAGTAATTGCTGAGGATCATGGGTCAGTGGTCATAGAACCTACACAGACTGTCCTCTAGATGAAGAGAAGATCTTAAAAGGACATCCTGTGTTCAAATAAACCAGCCTGCCAAGTAGGAGAAAAACAGGGCCCCAAAGCATTTGTTGTAATGTTGATTTTCTCATCACACATGCAAGTAATGGCTTTCACAAATTGCACATCATCTGTATAAATCTCTTCAACCTGTTCTCAAAAACAATGTCATCACCACACTGGCACACCACAAAAGACAAAGGAACAGAAATGAATGTGGGGACATTCAAAAGTAGTTTTGAAAAATGATGTGGGGAAGGGGAAAGAAGGACAAATTGATAAAAGGTGCCTGTATTTGACAAATGTAAATCTACTGCACCAACTATATTTGCAGTTTAAAAAACCAAGTTGTGTATCTTGTATATTATTCAGCTTCTGTGTACATGGAAAGATTGAACTAATGTGTGTACTTATGACTGATTAAATTACTTGCAAATATGCTAAGCCGTTAAGGAATTTATCTGAGACTGTCTGCCTCATCTAGAGTTCAGAACTGCTACTTCTTCCATCAGAAGAACAGGAACCTAGGTAACAAAAATGACAAGTTTTCCTAGTATAATTAACTCTTTATGGGAGATATTCAGGAGAGGAAAATTGATTTGAGAGAATCTGTTTAAACAAAACCATTGGTTACACATATTCGCTTTCATTGCATTGGTTCTTATTGCCTACTTCAACGGCAACAAGACCTCAGTCTGAGTCTTTCTAGTCCTCCTGAGATATATTCTGAATGCAGGGAATCTGTATTGTGTGTGTGTGTGTGTAAAGAATCTGCATTAAGCATGATGTGTTCCTATGAGTCACAGGCTCAGTAGGGAAACAGATCTAGGATGGGGGGGCGGGTAGTGTCATCAAGGCTGTAACTCCAAGTACATATATCAGGCAAAAGTATTCCACTGAACTCAATGGAATTTCTTAACTAACAGGCAAATATGCATGTCTGCTCAGAAGTAAATTCTGTTGTTTCAAATCACAACAGTCTAAAGGTATTTATGATATAACCAAACTGCAGCTTAATATCTCTAGAATATTTGTACTATTGTTAGATATAATTTAAATCTTGAAGCAAAAAGACAATAACATGTATGGGATCTCTGCAAAAATCAATATTAGAGCCCCCCAATTGATTGAATGAATCCTAAGCAACATCTACTAAGCACATACTCAGTGTACCTAGTTTAGTTTTTATGCCATTGATTCAAAGCAATGTACTTTCATTTATAGCCAGACCCGATCAATATGAACTTCATAAATTAACTCAGTGCAGTTTGATCATAGAATTGCACTCCTTTCACTTTCTCCTTCTAATCCATACTTGCAAATGGAATGGGTAATGGGAATGCATGATAATTAATTGAGACTAATCATTAACTGTCTGTTCCACTATTAACTTGTGGTATCCAAAAATAGATGGAAAAACAGCTGGATCCTCTGCGTGTTTTTCCAGAAGCAAGTTTTAGTGCGTTTCCCGAAGCGTAAATCCCGGTGACACGGCAATCTCCTTCGACGCTTTTGGGAGGAAGCCCTGTTTAAACTGAGTTAGCTTATATTTTTTACAGCATAAACACAGTGGAACCCGATGTAGAAGCGCACACGATTGGATCGGCCCAAGCCTCTGTACGCGGAACGAATGAATCGGGTTGCGGCTTCCC